GCATGAAATTAGTAGTCCAGTAATGGAGAAATTATTCATCTTGAAGCTGTATCCATGTTTATTATACTGGATGGAGGAAAATGCACATTTTTCTTTAACAGGTAGGCCTCTAGGAATCATAATAGCTTATTAAGTGTGGCAATGGCAATAACCTTGCTAATAGATAGTCAAGTGTTAATATTAGAGAATGAGCTCTCTTTTTGCCAATGTTGGCCCCTACATGAATGAGTTCTTATAAGGTTAGTAATATGTATTTCTTTAAATTGTTTTCATGGATGTATGAGGTGGCACTACATCTAAATGGTAGAACTGATTAAAATATTTTTATTATTTCAGGAAGGATGAGGAAGAACTCATGAGAGCAATTTTCTGTGGTCAGCTCTTGGAGGAACCTATGGAGCGCCTTCAAACTTGTATTATATGTGCTGGTGTGTGAGTACTGCCATTAATGTGTGGTACTCCTGCCATGGGCAATGCTCAACAATCACTTAGGCAAGATAAAGAAAACATAAGTTAGAACATAAGGAGAAACTATAAAAGATTACTGGGCATCACGCCAATCAGAGGTTTGTGATAGCCAGGAGAGTATTATCTCCTCAGCTTAAAGGGAAACTAAATGGTGGAAGTGGTATTCACATAAGAGGAAGGCAGATGACAAAGACACATCACCAGTATTACCTGTGGTTTCTCTGCAGCCGATGTTTTACTGCTAGTGACTTGCTATGCCTTGTTCTACACTGTGTCACTATGTTGAGGCTGCCATCTTGGTAGAGGCAGGGATTTGCTTCTATATGTTGGAGCCTAAAGCTGTAACATCACCAAATCATCTCACTCGAAATCTGGTAAGATTAGCAGTCAGAGGCAGCAGTGCCTTGGGTTTACATGCAGAGGAGGAATTAAAAACAAAATCTAAAGCTTTCATAGTACTGCTTAGGTGCAGTTCATTTTTCTGGCTGTTCCCTATGACAAAGCAATTCTTCACTTTGAGTTCAGTTCCACTTCCACTTCTAAGCCTTTGTTTAAATACAAATACATCATATTTGAACAGTAAGTAGCTTACAACAATATATTATAATAATTAGAACATAATGTATTTTTTCTTAGATTTGAGTTCATCCAGGTCACTTGACCTTTGCATTGCAATAAAGGTGTCGAGATATCAGAAGAGACTTCAGTAAGAGTAAGTGAAGACATAAGCACTCGCAATTTAGGGCTGTTGCGGGTCACACAACGTCAAGTGTGGCCATTTTAGGTCATGCGACCCAAAGCGCCATGGGTCCTTCATTTTTACAGCTGATAAGTTGATGCTCATCTTTTTTTTCATCCTTTCCTTCCTCAATGCCTACTTAACTGTATAGATAGGACCTTAAGTTTGAGTTAAAGTGTCACTAAACTGACATCGTATAAAAAAAATCAATAAATGCTGTATTACATGATGTTCACACTTACTCAGTCACTATGAAATTCGTTTTCTGTATTCTGCAAAAAAACTGGTTGATCCTGCTGTTCTCTATCTTCCCCTTCTGTCAAAGTCCCCAATGCAGCTAGAGATTTTGCAGAGCAGTGTTGGCAGCTTTACACATGCTCAGTTTTCAGTGAGTTTCTATACTGAGCATTTCCTCCCTATCACATGTGAGCAGCCTATGTGACTATACAGTCACACATGTGGGCATATACACAATGGTAAAGTACAGCCCACTCCATCCCTCCTCCTCTATGCCCACTAACCAGCTAAACACAATGTGGGTGGGATATTACGTGTTGACTGATGGAGGCTTCACCTTCATTTTATTCTAAGACATAGGCCGGAGGGGCGTGACACAGCCTGTGACTGGCAGAAATCCGCCCCCACACCATGTTATTGATAAAAAAAATTATAAAGATTTGATTTAAAATATATATTTGTATGACGATTTAAAACATAGTTACATAGTAAGTCTGGCTGAAAAAAGACAAATGTCCATCCAGTTCAACCATTAAAAAAAAAGCAAAAAAAAAAAAACAAGTTATAAGCCTATACCCACAGTTGAACCAGAGGAAGGCATAAAGACCCAGGAAAGCATGATCCAATTTGCACCTGCAGGGAAAAAAAATTCCTTCCTGATCCCCCAAGAGGCAATCGGATAATCCCTGGATCACATTTACCCATAAATGTTAGTATCCAGTTATATTCTGTGTATCTAGGAAAGAATCCAGTCCTTTTTTAAAGCAATCCATTGAGCTGGCCAGAGCTAACTCTTGAGGGAGTCTATTCCACATTTTCACAGCTCTTACTGTGAAGAAACCTTTCCGTATTGGAAATGAAATCTCTTTTCCTCCAGACATAAAGAGTACCCCCTTGTTCTCTGTGATGACCTCAGGGTGAATAACTCTACACCAAGTTCACTATATGAACCACTGATGTATTTATGCATGTTGATCATATCCCCCCTTAATCTCCTCTTCTCAAGAGAGAATAAATTCAGTCCCTCTAATCTTTCCTCATAGCTGATCTCCTCCTTGCCTCTTATCAGTTTGGTTGCCCTTCTCTGTACTTTCTCCAGTTCCGCAATGTTCTTTTTGTGAATTGATGCCCAAAACTGAACTCCATATTCCAGATGAAGTCTTACTAATGATTTGTACAGGGGTAATATGATATCTCTCTCTCTGGAGTCTATACCTCTTTTAATACAAAAGAGGATTTTGCTCGCTTTAGAAACCGCAGCTTGGCATTGCATGCCATTATTAAGCTTGTGATCTTCCAGAACTCCCAGATCCTTCTCCACCATTGATTCCCCCAGTTGTACCCCCCAATATGTATGATGCATGCATATTCTTAGCCCCCAAGTGCATAGCCTTACATTTATCAACATTAAACCTCATTTGCCACATAATTGTCCAATTACACAGTGCATTGAGGTTGGATTGTAAGTTGGAGACATCCTGTACGGATGTTATTCCACTGCACAGCTTGGTGTCATCTGCAACTGAAATGGTATTTTTAATCCCAAACCCTATATTGTTTATAAATATATTAAAAAAGTAAGGGTCCCAACACTGAACCTTGGGGTACACTGTAGACTTTACCTTACACATTAGCATTTCGTGGGGAACTATGTCAAACGCTTTTTCAAAATCCAAGTATACCACGTCCACCGCCACCCCCCTGTCCAAGGTTTTGCTCACCTCCTCATAAAAATAAATCAGATTTGTTTGACAACTTCTGTCTTTCACAAATCCATGCTTTCTATTGCTTAAAATATTTTTTTCCAGCAAGAACTCTATGTGGTCTTTTATTAAACTCTCCAGTATCTTCCGAACTATAGATGTTAAACGGTTTATTGATATTAATTAATCACTTTTACTCTGTATTCCAAAGGCTGTTTTTTTTATTTTGATCATGTGACTAGCAGCAGAGAACTAGAAGCTCCTCCTGTTTATGTTTCCCTGCAGGCAGGCTGGGAGAGAGCTGGGTCATGTGTCAGCTGTATCAGGGGCGGACTGACTATTTGGAAACTCGGGTACTGCCCAAGGGCCCTGGGGTCAGTAGGGGGCTCCATGAGATGCCCCTGGTACCTTTTTCATAGGCTTTTTTGAGTTTGGGCAAGGACACAGGGGCCCCATGATCCCCTATTGCCCGGGGGCCCCATGAGTTGTCAGTCCGCCCTCTGAGCTGTATATAAATTAAGGAAAAGGTACTTAGATTTTTTTTTAATAATTACAGTGCAATCATCCATATACAGAAATAGAAGGGACCATGTAAATTAAACAATGTGTGTTTAGTAACATTTTAAAGTCAGCTTTAAATATTAAATGTCATTTACATTTTACATCATTAATCCTATGAGAAATATAGCATGGAATAACCACAGCAAACATTTCCAATTAATGTCAAACTTAAAGAGTAACTGAAAAGCATTTCAGGAAAGAAAAGACTGTTTTAGTTGGTTGGTTTTTAGAAGCACAATAGAAGAGGCTTTTCAATAGGAACACTTTGATAACAGCTGTGAAACAAAAGCTCATATTCTTTTCATTCACTGATGCTATTATTAATGACCTTGCTTCCATTTGGGATTTAAAGTAAGCCGATACTGTTGTTAATTACTAGACAAGTCATTTACTAAAGCTAAGCCACTGCAAATACCAGATGCAACATATTAAACGCATTGTTAAGACAATTTGTAAACTAGCATCTTTGTACCATGGAACATGTATTCTGAACGCATTGATATGTATTTATATATGCAGTGTGCAGGCACAGGTGTGTTATTTTACTTTTCCCATTCAGATGCTTTATAAAGCAAGACAAACATTCTGCAACTGGTTAATATAAAGGCATATTGGTTTATTTTTTATGTTGAGGTGCCTTTCAAAATGAACACTGCCCAAACACACAGTTGAAATACTGCCAATAGTTTTAATTAGGAAAATATGTGTGATTCTCCTTCAGCCAATTTTTTCATTCACACACCTCTGCTGTACCACATAGCCAGGTGGGAGACACTATTTACTTATTATAGCTAAAGAACACTGTACCGTACATCTTCCTCCGTGTGCTATGCAAATGTATTGCCAGTGAAGAAAACATTCATGTGAGTTTTCTCGATCCTTGATTGACAATTCTCATCTTATATACACTATATTGTCAAAAGTATTGGGACACCTGCCTTTACACGCACATGAACTTTAATGGCATCCCAGTCTTGGTCTGTAGAGTTCAATATTGAGTTGGCCCACCCTTTACAGCTATACCAGCTTCAACTGTTCTGGGAAGGCTGTGTGCAAGGTTTAGGAGTGTGTCTATGGGAAAATTTGACCATTCTTCCAAAAATGCATTTGTGAGGTCAGGCACTGATGTCAGACTAGAAGGCCTGGCTCGCAGTCTCGACTCGAATTCATCACAAAGGTCTTCTATAGGCTTGTGGTCAGTCAGTCCAGTCAAGTTCCTCCACCCCAAACTCGCTCATCCATGTCTTTATGGACCTTGCTTTGTACACTGGTGCACAATCATGTTGGAACAGGAAGGGGCCATCCCAAAACTGTTCCCACAAAGTTGGGAGCATGAAATTGTCCAAAATGTCTTGGTATGCTGACGCCTTAAGAGTTCCCTTCACTGGAAAAAAGGGACCAAGCCCAACCCCTGAAAAACAATCCCACACCATAATCTCCCCTCCACCAAACTTTACACTTGCAGTCAGACAAGCACCATTCTCCTAGCAACTGCCAAACTCAGACACGTCTATCTGATTGCCAGACAGAGAAGTATGATTTGTCACTCCAGAGAACATGTCTCCACTGCTCTTAGAGTCCAGTGGCGGCGTGCTTGACACCACTGCAGCTGACACTTTGCATTGTACTTGGTGATGTAAGGCTTGGATGCAGCTGCTCGACCATGGAAACCCATTTCATGAAGCTCTCTACGCACTGTTGTTGTGCTAATCTGAAGGCCACACAAAGTTTAGAAGTTTTTAGCTAGTGACTCTGCAGACAGTTGGCGACTTCTGCGCAATGTGCTGACCCTGCTCTGTCATTTTACGGGGCCTACCACTTCGTGGCTGAGTTGCTGTTGTTCCCATTTGCTTCCATTTTGTTATAATACCACTAACAGGTGTCAGTGGAATATTTAGTAGCAAGGAAATTTCATAGATGGACTTATTGCACAGGTGGCAACCTATCACGGTACCACGCTTGAATTCACTGAGCTCCTGAGAGCGACCCATTCTTTCACAAATGTTTGTAGAAGTTGTCTGCATGCCTAAGTGCTTAATGTTATACACCCCCGCGGCCATGGAAGTTATTGGAACACCTGAATCCAATGATTTGGAGAGGTGTTCCACTGGGATGCACCGAAATTTCGGTGGCTGAAACATTTCGGCCAAAAACACCCCTATGGGCCGTCCGCCAATATGAAAAAAAGCACGATACAGGTGCCAAAAAAAACCCCTGCCCCCTTGCCACCGCTACTGCTTGTCCGCCACTGCTGCTGCTCGGTAGTTCTCAGCTTTACCTGAAAAACCACCAAACGATCCTGGGGCTGGGAATAGAGATTAGTGAAGGAAAGATGACCTCCGCTCATCTCTATGCCCTTGGAGGACCGAAGCGATGTCACTTCCGATTCCAGCGCCTTGTAAACAAGCCCATTTTTTAAAAGCACTAGATCAATGCCTTTTTTGATCTAATGCTTTACATTGTAGAGGAGAGATGTGGGGTCTTATTGACCCCATATCTCTCCATACAGAGGACCTGTCACCAATTATTTCTATCACAAAGGATGCATGCATTGCTTGTGATAGAAATAAAAGTGATTAATTTTTTTTAAAGGGACAGTGTAAAAATTTTTTAAATTAATTAAAAAAAAATGTTTAAAGTGCCCCGTCCTCTAGTGGCGAACACCACACCCACATATATAAACGGTGTTCAAACCACACATGTGAGATATCACCACAAATGTCAGAGCAAGAGCAATAATTCTAGCACTAGACCTCCTCTGTAACTTTACACTGCTAACCTGTAGAAATCTTTAAAGCATCACGCATGGAGATTTTTAAGTACCATAGTACACGAGCGTGCGCAATTTTAAAGCGTGACATGTTGGGTATCTATTTACTCGTCGTAACATCCTCTTTCATATTTTAAAAAACTAAATATTATATATATATATATTGTATATATATTGGGGTTTTTTTTAATCAAAGTGTATTTTTTTCCAAAAAAAAAATATTAATTTTTAAAACTGGCCATTTCGGTTTGCATCCTGAATTTTGTTTTCGGTTTCGGCACCAGAATTTTCATTTAGGTACACCACTAGTGTCCTAATACTTTTGGCAATATAGTATGATACCATCAAATACTGACTGAGGTTATGGTCATACCATCATGTATTATTGTCCTTCAACATGCAAACAACTTAGTCTGGGAGAAAAAAGAATAATGAGACATGTTTTCTATTTTTTATATATTGCTACTAAGATGTTGCATGTCCTAGCCCCAGTGATGAGTCCTTTATATCTCTGCACCTGGGGCAGAAACCTTACATTCACCAGCAATAAAGTTTACGGATTTAGATATACAGCACAACAATTAAGCAGAATTTTTGACTTAATAATTTTATATATAAAGCTCATGCTGAAACATATGCCTTAGGATATATTAAATATATATCAAGTCTGTGAAACATTAAACAGATTTCAAAATCATAGAAAAGAAAGTGTATACAACAGCATGACCATATATAAACAATTACTGTAATGAGTAAACAGAAATCTGAGATAAATCATGAGTGGCAGAAGTTCTGTGTGAGCAGCTGTGGGATTGATGACCGGCTTATTAGATGTCTAAATTTTGATCGCACGCTTAATGTACATATCAATCACATTTATGTGCATAATGGCTCAGATAAATGTCTTCATCATAAGACAGTGGCAATATTAGTTTACTGCAAGATGTTACAAGTTATTCTACTCAAGAAGAGTAAAAGTAAAAAAATTGTATTTACTATTAGTAAGTCATATGATTTATTTTACAAATATTTAAGTAAGGTGTTCCAAGCTTAAATCAAGCCTGCACTTTGCCCTTCAAAGCAAAGGAACAGGTTTGCATTCATCCCCCACCCCTTCCTCAGTATATATTGATTGCTTCCCCAGTGCACTGTCTAGAGCCAGAAGCCAAAGAAAATTCCTGGTACTTTAAGGTATGCAATGACTATGTGACAGCTATAAAGTATTACTAAACCCACAACAGTAAAATCAGTCTGTATATGCAGTAAAGCATGCTTGTTATACTCACTGTGGAACCTAAGGGGTTAATCCTCTGCATTGTGTGAAAATTATGTTTGATCCTGTCTTCTCTAATACGCCCCTTCCTCTATTGACCTCCAATCTATCTGTTGATAGAACAGAGCCTTGGGGGCAAGCTGCACATGCTCAGTTTAGTGTGTATTGCTAGAGTTTTGTTTTTTTTATTCTTGGGAGAGTGCATGTGATCAGCACAGGGCCAATCAGCACAGTCCAGACAGAGGGTCAGGGGTTATGCAGCCTCATAGGACAAATCAGGGGAGAATTAAAGCTTCTTCTACAAGCTTTAACCAGAAGACTGCTCTAACTGCTGATGAGAAAAGGTATTTAGCAGTTCAGATTTACTAAAATAATTTTGTTTCCATGTTCTGTGTACTGTGCGAAACCAGATATAGTGAATGCAGGGTCACACAGGAAGTCCATATTCCTGCATAAGCTATGAATCCAGCAACTAGTAGCTTACATAGAACTTTACTTTGGTCTTGGTAACTGAACAGAGTAGTGGGGGAAGAAAAAGAAAGATAATTATATGGATGGTTAAAGTCAGGGATTTTGTTCAGCGGGAACGTGGGGAAACATGGGAGAACGCAGTTCCTATACCTTCAGCACTGGATGTATGTAATGGTAAGGGGTGCTGGGGTGTGCTGGAATGTCTATTGATGCTTGCTGTTATGGGATCTATTGTTTATGGAGGGTATCTATTTTTTAAGTTAGAGGGTCTATTGAATTTCAATCTGTCACAGCAGCTTTTGCTATAAAGTGAAAGTATGCACAGAGTACTTACATACACTATATTGCCAAAAGTATTGGGGCGCCTGCCTTTACACACACATGATCTTTAATGGCTTCCCAGTCTTAGCCGTAGGGTTCAATATTGAGTTGGCCCACCCTTTGCAGCTAGAACAGTTTCAACTCTTCTGGGAAGGCTGTCCACAATCTTTAGGAGTGTGTATATGGGAATGTTTGACCATTCTTCCAGAAGCGCATTTGGGAGGTCAGGCACTGATGCCGGATGAGAAGGCCTGGCTTGCAGTCTCCGCTCTACTTCATCCCAAAGGTGTTCTATTGGGTTGAGGTCAGGACTCTGTGCAGGCCAGTCAAGTTCCTCCACCCCAAACTCACTCATCCATGTCTTTATGGACCTTGCTTTATGCACTGGTGTGCAGTCATGTTGGAACAGGAAAGGGCCATCCCAAAACTATTCCCACAAAGTTGGGAGCATGAAATTGTCCAAAATGTCTTGGTATGCTGACACCTTAAGAGTTCCCTACACTGGAACTAAGGGGCCAAGCCCAACCCGTGAAAAACAACCCCACACCATAATCCCCCCTCCACCAAACTTTACACGTGGTACAATGCAGTCAGACAAATACTGTTCTCCTTGCAACCGTCAAACCCAGACACATCGAGATTTGGGGTCCAAAGTCACATGACAAGTCACACCCCATGTTTCCCTACGAGTACCATTCAAATCTATGCAACTTAAAGTCGCAGTGACTTGAAGGCAGTTCCTGCACTATTTGGTGCGATTTTGTATGCATTTAGTCCAGCAAATGTAAAGCCAGATCAAAGACACACCACAAGTCGCAACAAAGTCAAGCTCCAAAGTTGCACCACTAGAAATTGCGCAACTTTGGAGACGCGCTAATGTGAATGGAGCCTAAAACCGACACCTGCAAGTAGGTACCAGCTGATAATCAAGGTACAAGGAAAGTGGGTGGTTCGAGGGAACCTGTCAGCGGACAGAAAGGTAACCCAGGATGCAACAGCCCAATAGCAAGCTGATACATAGGCTATTTTCTGCAACATTTGTTTAAAAGAGTAGTACTGAGGTCTGAAAAGGATATGTTGTGCGGAGCATTTAAGGGTACAATGCACAGAAACTATTCACATTGTCAAATTTCAGATCTCTGTAAACTTTTTCTCAATATTTAAAGTTAAAAAAGTAAAAAGTATTAAGCAGTAACACAATGAAATCTATACCAGCTACACAACTTAAAATTACTGCATGTCTTTAAAGACTTTGTAATTACAGAAAAATACCTATTGGGTATCAGAAATCTAGTGTGCTCCTAGTTTACTGTTTTGCCGGACAACACAACATCTTTACTGCACTATAATCTTGATCAGCGTTGTCTTTCCTGCCTGCTAGACTACAGAACTCTGTCCATCCCCACTCCTCTCTGTCCTTTTGCACAATATATATGTAGTACCCTTCTAGTGTAGAGTAGGTAAATTTAGGTGGCTTCAGAGCCAGCGGAGAAGTGGTTGAATGTTTGGAGCTGCTCAGTGTTTCACAGGCTGCTGCTCTGTTACTTCCCTGTCTTCTAGAAGATTCTAGAATCATAGCGGGAGGAAGGACAGGGGTTGCAGCCTGAATATTTATGGGACTTTAGCCAATCCCTGGGAAGGTGTTTTCAGTAAGTGGTTAGAGAGCCCATAAACAGTCTGAGGCCTGAGCAGCAGGGTGCAGTGTTCCTGGGTCCAGGAGGAGCCCCTGGTGCAGGACCTTAGAGGAAGCTTCTAGGAAGACACAGAGGTCCAAACTAAGCTTAGCTGGGGGGCCTAATCACAAGTTCAAGTCTCGGAATCAAGTTGGGTCTGGAGAAGCTCACTGGAGAGAGCCAGGAGGAAGATGGTGGGGAAGAGTCCTATGGTGATGTGAGTCTACATCTCTCCCCCACTAGAAACAGCCTGGTGCATATTCAAAGGAGGCGACTGATGATCCTGTGGCTATGTGAGTATATAACCCCAGCACTGAAAAGTGATGACTGAGTGTGTAGCTTTTAACTCTAAAAGGAGTACAGATCACCATCAGCTTACAGATCCTGTGGGACATTCCTTTTTGTGCAGTGCAGCCAGAAGTTGAGGAGTCTTCAGATTGTTCAGTATACAGTTTATTTATTATTTATTACAGATACGTATAT